ATTTACCTAAGTCAGTACTTTTATTCACATATTGGATATAACATGAAAATTAAATTATTTGAGACCATAAATAAATATATTTTTCTATACAAATATATGGTGATTTAAAAATGATTTTGAAAATCATTCTTGATTTTTAAGCTTATAAATAAACATGAGGATATGTAAACAAAACCCAGTATGATCAAAACACTTTAAACATCAACAGTGAATAACACATATATACAGTTAAAATCAGTAATGTTACTAATAATTGCTTTTATTACTCCAAAATTGACTTTGGGGAGTTCCTAGAACTTAAATAATGATGACTAAGAAAAAGATGTTGAAAAGCAAGACTTACTGCAAGAGTGTAAGAGGAATTCCCACTGATTCCATGATCAATGGAAATCAAATGAGAATTATGGTTTAGTGGCTGACACTAATGTATATTTTAAAACCGCATGGTAGACACAGGCCATAACGTATATACGCACTGATGTAAGGAGCCATGCCAGGATCCAGCGTTGTGATCATGCTTTCTACGGAATGTTTCGTCTTATCGAGCACAGATTTCACCACAGGATTCCCAGCCACACCCTGCATAAAACATTATAGCATGTAAGTAAGCCAAGAACATCAAAGGCTTCAAAATTATGAAAGAAATTTTCCTTTTCTTATTTTTAGAAAAGTTTCCAATGCATCCCTAAGCAGCAAAAATACACGAAAAGATTGCCACTTGGTTTCTACATTTCTCAACTTCTCCTTCTATCCCTCCACAGACTTACTGAAGTGTACAGACCAGTAGATGGTAAACTGTCTGCAGACTATGCTAATCTGTAGTTACATGTGTTTATTTAATTTATAAATATATTGATGTATTTCATTTCTACTTATTTAAAGATTATATCTCAAGGTCTAACATACTAGAATCAGATGTCAAAGTCCATGTTTGAGTCCCTAATAAAAAATAATCATAGTAAAAACTCCCTATCCTTACTTCCCTGACCTGTTCCAGCACCCTAATAGAATACTTTATTATGATCTACTAAAGTGTCTTTCTTTCTACTCCCTATTTTTCACTTTGTTCACTTCCAAACTCCTACACTCTCACTTAATAGCCAGACCCCTTCCTCTGAACCCTCAGAACTGTACCATGTCTGAGTGATCCTTCTGCCCCGAGAAAGAAGTGACTCCTGAACCAGCTTCTGACCACAGTCTAGATTCCCCTTTCAATCTACCAGTAAACTAAGGGATTTCACCACATGATGAGTTCCTAAGACTACTGACCAACTTTATGCTAAAAATCACAAGTAAATACTATTACTAGCCCTGAAGAGTTAACTGGACATTATAATCCATAAACTGACAGACACCTGCTTGTAACAAGTGGGGGGGGGGGAAGACCTATAATCATTACACAAAGAAAACTTTTAAAAGTACAAGATATAAAACTGCAAGCTTAAAAAACGTTATACTAAAACATGAAGCACAAATAATATAAATCAGTTAACCACTTAACATTTTGAAAATATGTTTAATATATATTCAATGAAATTATAAACTATCCTTCAGCAGAATACTAGAAGCATCTTGGCAGAGTGACTCCAAAGTTCACTGAGAAAAGTGGGGAAAGATCAACACAGATGTTATGGAGAAATAAGTTGATACAACTAAATATGAATATATTTTTATAAATGTTTTCTCTTATCGCTGACATTCCCCAGGCCCACCATGGCACAAAGCAGACTTTTGGTGCATGAATGTAAGAAATAAGCTGGCATTCCAACCATTAAAACAGTGCAGTACTACTGAAAGACACACAGACAACAGAGGAACAGAATGGAGAGCCTAGAAAACTACTGCTAACGAAAAATTTAGTAACTAAAATAAAGGTGACATATCAAATTACTGGAGTTATAACATTGAAATAATCTGTTAAGTAGTTGGAAAATAAGTTTGATTTCTACTTCATGTATTAGCGTGTATTAAACCATTAAGTATAACAAATGAGACAGAAAAGACATCAAGAAGAAATATCATATACTGTAGCAAGAAAAGATATTTTTAGCATAAAATTAAGAGAAAATTTAACAAGTGTTGTGCTAAAAATCACGTGACAAAAACAATGCAACATGTGACATTCAGCAAAACATTTTTAAGAACTCTCAAAAATTCACTAAAACAGCCCAATTTTAAACTAGACAAAGGACATGAGAATTCACAGAAAAAAATATACAAATGGTTAAAAATTTCATGAAAAGTTTAAATTCAGTAGCAAAGAAATGCAAATTAAAATGGGATTCTAAAATTGCCTATCATACAAGAAAATATTGCATTTCAAAGTAACAGCCTCGAAATAGTTCTGATGCAATAGAGACATCTAAAGATTTAGGTATTGGAGTACCTCTCATAGTTTTATTAATAAGAATGACAATTAGAATAAATCATTGTACAGTCTGGTCACTATAGTTAGTAACAGTATATTATAGTCTTGAAAGTCGCTGAGAATACATTTCAAGTCCTTGATCCTCCAAAATGGTGAGGCAATATATATGTTAATTAGCTCAATTTATCCATTCCACAATATCTATACTTTTCAAAACATTATATGGTATATGATAAATCTACAAAATTTTTCTCTGCTAAAATAAATTTTAAAAGTTGCAAAAAAAAATCCTAGTAGTGGATTAGTAAAATAAAACATGAAAAATAAATGTAGTATCATATATGGCAAACGTAAAACACACACATCTCCCAGGTGTGGAAGCGCACAGCTGCAATCTGAGCACTGAGACCCCAAGGCAGGAAGACTGCAGTAAATTCAAGCCCAGTCTGAGAGACTTAGCAACTTAGACTCTGTCTCAAAATAAAAATTAAGAGTCTGGGATGTAGCTCCATGCAACAATCCTGGATCCTCAGTACCAAAAATAAAAATGCACTCCTAAATATATAGCCAGGAAGGTGGTTATAGTATCTGGAAGGAAAAGACCAACAAAAAGCACAAAGAAATGCCCCACGTCATTGTTCCATTTTGTTTTTATTAACAGAATAGGTACAGTTACACAAATATACAGAAAAGATAGGAGCAATGAAAGAGAACAGAATTTTTATTCTTTTCCAATGTCATTTTCTATTTTCAACATTTTCTCTGATGAACACCTATCACTTTGTAACTAAAACATAAAACATAATTTTAAAAGTAAATATCTTATCCCTTACCTTAATAAAACCCCAGATACCACCAGCAGATGCTTCATCCTGAACTCTATTAATTCTAGGATCTTCTTGTTCCTCTGGGAAGGTAATGGCTGATGTGGTTCCAGTTACTTGTGCCAGAGATGTCAGACTGGCTTGCTGAGTAATAGGAGTTGGCAAAACACCTAGTCAATGGCCAAAAAAGTGTAATTTTTATATTACTTATATTACTATTAACTTTTTATATTACTTACTATTCCAAAACTTTTTATATTACTTACTATTCCAAAACTTTTTATATTACTTACTATTCCACAAACTTTTTATATAAAAAGATACAGTATGTGAGAAGCTCAAAACAACTTTAATAACTACATACACTCAAGTTTTTAAAACTTGAATCAAAGGGTTGGGGATATAGCTCAGGGCCACAGCACCTGGCTAGGAAACCAAGGCCCAAGTTCAACTCCCGGTACCAAAGAAAACACTGAGGTAGAAACTCCTCAGAATCACCCAAATCTTTATAAAGCAAATTAAACAGAATTCCAAAAACAAAATTTCCTTCCTTTGACAGAGGCTTAATTGTTGTAAAAAAAGGATATATACATGTGTGTATACATATCACATATAAACATATGTTTTCATATTGTCCTACTTAGTACTTGAATGCTGACAGCTATAGTTAATCCAAAAAATTGGGCATCTGAGCCATCATAAATAGGTATACAATGATCACTACATATATTCTACATATTTAATTTTAACTCAGAAAGAATATTCACGTGTACAGACAATGATATAATGGTACTCATTAATAAATTTTATGTGTAAGGCAAGATTTACAAATACTAATAACCAGAGCAATGATGCTTCCTCCCTCTGAAATGAGAAACAGGCAAAAGATGACAAAGATGAGGTTTTAATAACTCGTTTTCAACCAGAGAAGCAAAAAAAGATGGAGTGGACCTTGGAAAGGAAATGAACCAATTTCACCAACTTTTGGCTCACATGAACTTTTATATGGTTTAGAATTTTTATCCAGCTAAATAAAAACTATTCCCTGGACCAGTAAGTCTGTCTTTGTAATTTTTAAAGAAGATCTTTTAACCTCAAACTCTGCCTTGATGCTCTATAAATGCACAAAGATTAGGACAAAATTTGGGAATTCTAACATCTCATCTATTAATCATATACTAAGTTGTTTCTGTATGTCCGTTTTATATTTTTCAGTTCTAGGGACTGACACAGGTCCTCTTGCTTACTAGCCAAAAATATATCACTGAGCTACATTCCCCCATATACTCCATCACATACAAAGTTACAAAGCTTTTTTTTTTTCCTATACTGGGGATTAACACAGGATTTTGACACTAAGCTATATCCCCAGACCTTTTTATCTGATTTTTTTTTTTTTAGACAGGGTCAGACTAAGTTGCCCTGGCTAGGTCCAAACTTGTGATCCTCCTGCCTCAGTTTCCCAGAGCACTTGGAATTACAGGCATGTACCACATCTGGAATTTTTATAATTTAAATGAAAAAAACATGAGATTATGAAACTATAAGTGAAAAAAATTAAGACACTAACAGAGGAACTGGAACACTATACATACAGAAAGGAGATACCATACACAAAGTAAATGGTACACAAGCTTTGAAAAATAGTTTAGTAGGCTTAAAAAAAGTTGTAATAAGTGGAATAAGTGCTTGCCAGGCAAGCAAAAGATCTTGAGTTCAATCCCTGGTACCAAAAAAAAAAAAAAAAAATTACTACATAAGTCAACAATTCCTTGCATAGGCACGTACATGCCCAACAGTAGTGAAAACTTTTCCACAAAACCTATACACAATAGTTCATAGCAATATTATCCAAATGGCCAAAAAGTAGAAATGTAACATCACCTGAACTGAATAAGTAACATGAAGTATTTTTTTTACAATGGAGTATTAGTCATGAAATGAAGTACTAACTCAAGCTACAATAAGGATAAATCCTAAAAACATCTGAAGTGAAATGAATGCCAGCCACAAAAGACCACATGACATGACTCCCTTTATATGAAAAGCCCAGAATAAGCAAATCCATAGACCAATCCATAGATTAGTGTTTACCTAGGGCGGTGAGAATTGCATGGAACAGATGAAATAGGTACAGAGTTTCTTTTCAAGGTAATGAAGTTATAAAATTGACTGCAGCAATGGCTACACAACTTTATGTATGAAAGCCATTGAACTGTACACTTTAAATGACCAAATGTTATAGTAAGTGAATTTAATCTTAGAAAACATATATATATATATACACACACTATAACAACATATATACACACACACTATAACAACATTAAATCCAGCATGTATTTCAAAGTATTAATAAAAGAGAACTACCTGTCACTGGTGGTGCAGAAAATGATGGCATCAGAGGTGTCTGAGGTGCTCTTCCTGCATGTCCTCGTGTGATGTCATAAGATGAACCAACAGAAAATCCTGATATCGGAGGACCCGGGGGAGGGGCAGTTAAAAGACCACTTGGGGTAGAAGTTGCAGGTGGGAAGTGGGCTAACGGAGGATTACTGAAGGTGGCAGCAGTTGCTGACGGTAGCGGAGGGGGCACAGAAGTACCAGGTGGTGGAACAGAAGGAGGTGATGAAAGAGGCACAAAAGGCAGTGGTGCTGAAGGCCGCAAAGGAGGGTGGGACGGCTGCGGAGTAGAACATGCATGTGGGGGCAAGGACTCCATTGCGGATACATTTGGAGAAGAAAAAGAACTGGTTGAAGCTACAAAAATGGAAAGGATAAAAAAACAAAATTGAAAATGTTTTTCATATTGTTTTCAAACTCACATTACTGTCAAATGCAAAATTATTTAAGACCATATCCCAAGATTACTTTTAAATATATAAATTTAAAATATACAATAAATATGATCCAATGCAAAATATTTTCAACACACTGAAGTAAAAGCAGCAGCAATATGTTATTAAATTATGGCACCGCTCCTAAGTATCTTTTTTCCTTGTTCATTTGTTATTAATGAATAAATTAAAATGTTTAATTAAAAACATTATGTTTTTAGTAAGATAAAGCCATTTTTCAGGTTCAAAAGAATTATGACCAAGTCACAGAATATCAAAGATAACACATGCTCCTAAGAATATTCTGTTAATAATTTACATTAATTTACAGTCAATATGAATATAAGAACAGCAGTCTACATAAAGCAAAACATTGATATTTTCTTACTTTTAAAGAAGGCTATTTCTTTTTTTTCTTTAAATAAAATATCTATTTTCCTTTATCCTGACAAAGATTAGAGATGCTTTAATATGTGCACTCTGCTGTGAACTAACAACAAAAGTGAGTCTCTTCTTTAGCCTCACTGAGCACAGGGGCTCCACAACCCACGTACCAGGGGTTGAGGACATGGCAGTGGCCACCACTCCTGCAAGGCTCAGAGGAGGAGTCCCAGGTGGCGTGGTCTCTATTCCACTCTCTTCCATCATTTTGCTTCAATTATGGTACACTATAAAACATAAAAATTTAATATATTTCACATAGAACTCAAAGTGAATTTTAAAATCTTGCACAGTTAAGAAAAACATTAAGAGTAATCCTCAGGAGACAGATATATGCCTTTACTACTTATTATGCAACTTATTTTCAAATGAAGGGCTTACTGAAATTCTTAAGGGTCTGGAAGATGGTTCAGTACAATAAACACTTGCCTGGCAAGCGCAAGGGCCTGAGTTCAATCCCCAGTTCCGCAAAAAAAAAAAAAAAAAAAAAAATTCTTAAGGAAACAGTGTATGAGCATGTGTAATGTGCAAACAACCTGTGCCACTGCCATACATACTTTACAATTCGGAATCAATTTTATGTTAACTATATCATTAATACAGTAACATACTTCAAACATTAAATTGCCAATTTGATTTCTGCCACATGAATACATGTTAAAGTTATGTCTATATTCCAGTCATGACTATATTCAAAATGAAAATAAACCATTTAATGTAATCTTGAAAGCCTCTTCAATCATAAAGTGTTCTATGGAAGCTATCCCTATTAACAGAAAAATTTTAAATGTGTTTGACTTGGTAAATGCATTAATCTCTTCCCACATAGTATTCTGTGTGGGCTACATCTATTAACATCCTTTAAACATCAAAATGTGCTAAGTTTGATAAAATGTATTACTTTCAAGTCTCTAGTTCACTTTTTTTTTTTTTTTTTTTTTTT